GCACCCCCTCCCACAGCCCCCTGCTGACGTGCCCCCCTGTTTTCTCTCCCCGCAGGTCACCTCCTCGGGCATGGTCCCCTCCTTGGCGCTGGTGGCTGCCAGTGGTCCTGCCTGGGATGACGTGCCCCCGTTCCGCTGGAGCACATCCCCGTGCAGCGCCCTGCTGCACATGGGCCACCCTGACCTATGGACCTTCCCCCCCATCAAGGTCCACTGGGACTGAGCCAGCACCAGGATGACCCCGTCCATCCGTCCATGGGCGTCTGTCCTGTGTGGGAATCCCTCATGGGGCCTGCAGCATTACCCGCTCTCCCCTGTGCCCAGGGGACTGGCTTTGGGTGCAAGGGGGGGGTCACCTGCACCCCAGGTTCTTTCTGCTTCTGCCTCTCGCTGCCGTGTCCCCATAGTGCTGTGCTGCACAAGGGCCATGTCCCCTCCCCACCATGGGGCTCTGGGACCTTTCTCTGGATGCTGACACTGGGTTGGGGGGGGCTTTTCCCAGAAAAGGGGGGCTCCCCCCTTGGGAGGCTGGTACTGGCCTGCAGGCAGAGAGGAGGGGAGCGAACTGGTTCGGCTGTGACAAATAAAGTGCTCTGCGTGCAGCAGAGGAGGTGGCTGTGTTTTGCGTGCTGCTGAGATTCTCTGGTGTCTCGTATAAGGGTTGGGCTCACACAGCGGTCTTCCACTCTCCGCACATTAACAGGGTGATTCCTGCTTCTTGGCGGTCGAGTGCACAGCCCTCCAGGCTGGGCTTTTTTGGGGTGCATGCTGCTGAGGTTTCTCTGCGTATCTGGCATGGGGCAGAGCTGCTGAAATAGGGGAGCCTGGTGAAGGAGCTGGAGTGGGGAGGTCCCACCACTCACCCCACCAGGATGGGGTGCCCATCCTCATCCCTTTTGTCTCCCCCTCCTTCTGCCACCTGTGTTCCCTCAGCCCCGCAACCCCTGTTGCAAAATCCTCTTACGGCAGCTCCCTTGATCCTGCTGCTTCGTTAGGAATAACGAGGTCATTACCGGGGGATTAATGAGCTGCTGCGGCACCGCTTTGAAGGCTCCAGGTTCCCACCAGGCCTGGGGGGCCCTGCAGCTCCCTGGGGGCTGCACGGAGCCGGGATGCAGCAGCACTGGGAGGTTGGGGTGCTGGCACCCCTAAAGCTGCAACGGGTGCCCTGCACCCATCCCAAATCCTACTGGGATGGGTGCTGGGAGGAGAGGGGGTGGCAGAACCTGTGCTTGTGTCCCCATAGTGTGGGGACTGTGCCTCAGTTTCCCAGGGTGGGAGCAGAGCAGTGCCATGGGGCAGTGAGGAGGGGTCGGTGCATCCATGCTGGAAATGCAGCAGGATCTGGGTTGCTGCTTCCCTTGCTTTTTCTTCTTCTTCAAACCCAACAGAAGTGGTTGAATCTCACCCCAGCTACAGCAGGCCTGGGCTGGGGCCATGTCACCACCAGGGACAACATGGTATTGTCTTCCCGGGGCGGGGATGGAGCAAAGCGGGTTGAAGGGGTGCAGGGTGGGAAAGAACGCTGGAACACCAGGGCTGAGCTGAAACGTGGTGCTTCTGCTTCCAGACTGCGCTGGCCGAGGGACAAACGAATCCTCTGTGGCTGTGGGGTCAGGACCCAGTCATCTGGGAGCTGCCTCTCCTCTTCCCCCACCTCTCCTGGACTCCCAGCGTCCCATCTCCTGGGCACATGAAGGCTGCTGGGACTTGGCTGGTCCTGGGCCACCGGCACCATGCCCGCGCCATGGCCAGGGTGCTTTCGGCATTGATCCAGTTCTAAGGTTGCCAAAAGCCCATCTGGCTCCGAGCAAAGAGCCGGGGCAATGTTCAACTGCTGCCAGCTCACATGGGGACCTGAGGACATCGGCACAGCCCCCCTGACGTCACCTCTGCCTCTGCTGCTCCCAGACTCTGCTGTGGCTGCGGGCGAGGAGCTCAGCACATGCAGTGAGGACTCGGAACGTCGGGTAATCCCACCGTGGGGTGGCCCTGCGTGAGTCAGGGGACAGGGAACTGGTTGGGCACCTGGGGACACTGGGGGCTTGGGGATGGAGGATGGGTTGCCCCACTTGTAATAGGGTTCTGGCAGGGAGGACCCATCGCTGCGCCCCAGGGCTCGGTGCTGCTGCATCCCAGGGCTGGGATGGAGCCGGGGATGACTTTGTCCCACCCCTGGGGCTCCTGTGGCCCATATGGAACCGAGGTGGGCAGTGGGGCTGTGGGGAATGGGGGGAACCCATGGGGAGCAGCCGGTGGCTCACCCACCTCTCCGTGGCAGAGCATCCATCATCACCAAGGCCATGGCAGCCCAGCTCAGCAGGGGCCAGAAGCCTTTCCACATCGTATCACCCGTCCTGGAGAGCCTGCCCCTGTCCAGGGCTGCAGGTACCAAGGTTTACATGAAGCTGGAGAACGTTCAGCCTACTGGTTCCTTCAAGATCCGGGGCATCGGTCACCTCTGCCAGGAAGTGAGGATCGTACTAGGGTGCTATTCCTGCCCTTATGGGGCACAACAGGGGGGAAAAACGTCCCCTTCCCTCCTTCTCTCCTGCCTTTCAGGCTGCCAAGAAGGGCTGCAGCCACTTTGTTAGCTCCTCAGGTAACTGGAGCTGGAGCAGGGAGGGACATTGTGAGCAATATGGGGGGTTCCAGCCCTTCCTTGACCCCCGTTTCCCGCAGGGGGCAACGCGGGGCTGGCCGCAGCATATGCAGCCCAGAAGCTGGGGGTGCCGATCACCGTCGTGGTCCCCAGCAGCACCGGCCCCGGCACTGTGCGTAGGCTGCAGGAGATGGGGGCAGAGGTGGAGATCTCCGGCCAGGTACCTCAAACTGGGGGTCTGGGGGAAGCATCTGTGGTGCACATGGCAAACCCCATCCTGCAGTGTCCCCCTCCTGCATCACCTACACCCCACCACTGCAACATGGTCACCCTGGGGAACCCCACATCAACCCTGCGTGGGTTTGTGGTGTCCCCCAGCCCTGTGGTGATGATGAACCCATTTGTGGGGGGTGAGGGCTGGATACGGCCCCACTGAGCCCCCCATTACACTCCCCCAGGTATGGGATGATGCCAACAGGAGAGCCCTGGAACTGGCGGAGACCAAAGGCTGGGTCAGCATCCACCCCTTTGACCATCCCTTGGTGTGGTGAGTGCTGCCAGTGCTCAGCTCCCCATCGCCATCCCCATGGTCGGGATGCTCTGGGCTGCATCCTCCCTCCCCTCCGCATGCTTCAGGCAGGGACACTCCAGCCTGGTCCAGGAGCTGAAGGACTCCCTGGAGACCAA